GGGAGATCTCAAATGAACACTTGGTCCCAGGTCTCTGAAAATCTTTAAAACAGAATACATCTGGTCGTGCCCTTCCCAGCAGAACTGTGCTGTTTGCATACTGTCTTGTTACAGTATGCAATGTTACAGCTAAGGAAAAGGATGGAAATCTGTTACCCTTCAATGGTAAAGGAGGATCTAGAGCAGAACATCTTCTTAAAGACGTATACATCTTCCCATGTGTTTTTGCCTTTCTTCTTGGTGCACTTCATGCTTTGTGATGTTAGTTTAAATCAACTTAGAGCATTTAATACACATGCAAAAGTGATGCTTTGGCACCATCAACATGAGACTATGATCCAAACTGCAGCCAGTGTTTTGCTTGTGAAGCAGATGCTGGATCAGGTGATGCTGAGAGGTTAATACAACATGAAGACACAATAGAAAGTTATGCAACAAAATAGATCTTACAGTTCATGAGCAAAGCAGGGAAAGAAAAGTATGTGCCCTTTGGTATATAGTCCTATATAGTCGTAGTATTATATGATGAGCACTGGTAGTGCAATTGCAAATATTAAGACTTCATCATAAATGTATAAATATCCTTCCAGAAAACAGAGAGAGAGAGAGATTGCAGCAGGTAATTAAAATACACAGAATAACTATATATTGTAAAAGGGACCCCCAAACAGAGCCTATGCAGTTTAATAGAACATTGTTAAATTGTAACTATAGCTTTCGTTGCCATCTACTGGATACATTAGTTTTCATTTGTTTATTGTAAAGTTCAGTTTTCTTTCTTATGAAAACTCAGATTGACACAGTAAAGCAGGGGTATAAGAAGGAATAGACTTTCAAAAGTTAAACAGTCTAATAAAATTTATCCTAAATGGATAGTAATCAGCATTCTAAATAACCTCAGTGGAAGGACTGTATACATAACCTCTGCCACACACAAATGGTTGAGGTATGCAGGCAGGAAATTGACTGTGATTTCTTGTTTTATAAGAAATGTTGGTTGCCTTTCTGTGCTTGATATCCTTTCCTTATGCAAGCACGCACATGTGCGCTCACATGCACACACATGTGAGATATATAGATATAGCCAAGTAACCTGCAAACACAAAACGTGAAGAGACTTCACACTCTGGGTTCTTGGAAAGAAATTGTACCAGAGCCCTGACTTTACTGATCATTTGACTAGTGCCAATATAGCCTTTCTGCTCATTAACAGACAGTTTGCCATTAGGATAACAACTGCTACTCAGCCGTAAAAAAATCCCTATGCATGTTTATCTTTTTGTAGGCAATGACCAATTAACAGTACCTACTCAACAGCCAGATCTATTTATCTCTAGAAGGACCTTCCCATCTCTGCCAAACTACCCAGTTTCATGTTGGAATCCATGAAAGAGATGCTTAGAATGGAAACCTAAATCTGGATGTGTGGATGGAGGCAATAAGCCTTCTGTTGCTATTAGATTTACAGCTGCTCTTCACTCTGTGCTGTGTGGTTGAATCCATCCTACATCTTACCCAACATGCTGACATTTTCTCATTGCAATTATCTACAGCGAAGTAGAGTAGAAATCAACCAAGACTAAAACCAGGTTCATGCTGCTGAGGCCCAGCAAACAAGTTCATGGCCACAGTGGTGGGGAATAGGACACTGTGGCTTATTTTCCTTCCATGATGGTGCAAGGTAGGCCTAAAGATGCCACAACCGTTTAGGATGGGCTCTTGCCTTTGAGTTTGGGAAATTATCTGAATCAAGTTCCTCCCATCTGCACAGTAAAGGGCAGGGCATAAATGAGCTGCTGAATTTCTGTTTATCACAGTGCTATTAAAGGTACAGAAGAAAATGCTTGGCAATGGCTAGAAAATGATTGGCAAGCTGTCAGAAACTGAGATTGGATTTCCTTCTCTTCCTTGTATTGATGATGCCATTTTATGTCTAAAAAGTTATGTTATAGAATAGGCTATTTTTCCAGCCGTTTTCCCTCCACCCCTTTAGGACGATGTTATTGAACATGCTGTTGAGCAAAAATCCAAGGGACAACTACTTACATAGGAGGAGATTGGCACATTTTTTCATTCTTCCCTCCTCTCCATTATCCCTGGGACAATTTTGGACATAGACTGGTAACTTATAGACACAGGCAATGTGCAGGTCAGTGCCCTAAAGAGGAGGAAACATGTGGTTCATGTGCACACATTGCATTCATGTTGTGCATATGTGCATGCATGTACCTATATATGCAAGTCTCTTGTTGCAAATAGTGCAGGAACTGGCAATTTGCTGTCCTCCACATTAGGGACCACAGTTCCTATTAGTCACAGCCAGAATGGCAAATGGTACAGGATGATGGGAATATCAGGTTGATATGATGATCATTTACAATTTGATACTTATACTGAACATTTTTCTCTGCATAGAGTAGGCTGTGGAAGAGCTCAGCATAGCACTGCATTCTAAGCCCTTCATCTCCTGCTATGTGAGTCCTGTATCAGCATTGCCTGACCACTTTTGATGGAGGTGCTTCAATGCATGGCTAATAGAAGCCTTCCTGTGCCTCACTCACACTCATTTACTGGTCCATTCCTTTTGAGCATCTTGTGTTTTGCACTGCCCATATTGCAATTGGCCATTGCAGCAGAAGTTAGACAAAGGCCAGGTTGCTGAATGCTTTTAGAGAAGGCACATGTAGGCTTCAATTTACCATGAAGAGGGAATATATTTTAGCAGATTTAACACAGCAGCAGCACAGCCAACGGAGAGCAAGAAGGTTGCAATGTAAATGTAAGCAAAGTTCCCTACACCTTGCCTTCACCCAATGTTTGTTCAAATGTATGGTGGACAGCTGTACTAATTTTCCTTTCCTAATAGCTTTTGTGCTCAAATTCTACCCACTTGGTGAGCTAGTTTTTACAGCAGTGAACTTGCAATCAGTTTGCACTGCAACTTTGTAAAGAGATTAGCAGCCTTCTCTAGGAACCTCCAGTCTTCCAACTCCTGCATATTGTATATGCTAACATGAAATGAAGCTTCCAATAAACAGACTGGGTTGTTTGAGTCATTAAAATCTATGCAATGCTGCTTGCAAGATTCTGAAGCACATGCCTGTAACTGTTTGATACTGTTTAACCCATTAACCAATTCAGATGGATATTTCCTTAGAAATATTTCTCTACCTTTTTATATAAATTGAATTTCAACCTGCATCAGTAGAGAACAGTGTTCAGAAAGTATTAACTTTTGAGTATGCTAAAACATTGTTTCACAGGCCTGTATTGAAACACAGATGTTTGTTTATTTACCCAAATGAAACAGAGGAATTTTCCCAGCCCTCTTTTTTTAAAATTTCATTTAAATTTGTGAACATGTGTCCACAACTTAAAAGAAAGGTTTGTGTATTTAGGTATCTCCAAAACACTCATTTCAATAGGCTTTTTCACAATGATATTCACCAACAGTATCACAAAAGTTGTCTTTTTTAAACGTAAGTGTAAGCAACAGTAATTCTAGAAACACTCAAGGGAAAAAAGCATAGCAATGTCCACAGTTACAAGAAAAAGTGCACATTACTTTGTCACAATCACAGTCATTACTTGGAAAAACTATATGTAACAAGTAGATAGAAAATATCACTGATGCCTTAAACTCATTGTCAAAAACTGAATTACATAAAAATTGTACACAAAATAAGGCAAATTCAGGAATGCACAAGGAACTTGTTATTTAACAAAAGCTAAACAACAGAACAGATATTACGATAAGCATGAACTAAAATACTTCTCTCTAAATACATAAAAATAAGCTTTTCTTAGCGCACAACAAAAACACCATTGATGCGCATTTGACATCATAAAATAAGAAATGGGTTGAGGGGAAGTCAGGGAAGGGAGCTTTGTTTAAGTGGCAGCTGCATCCTTTACAATATTTTTACAATTTAACTTCAGTGTTAACATTATAAAATCACATCAGAAGTGTCAATGGCCCTTTTCAATTACGTATTCATTTAAAAAGAAGGGAAGAAAAAGAAATAAATACACACAAGAGTGCAAATTTTCCGATTGTCACTTGCAACCTCTTCACATTCAATCATCTACATCCATTCACTACTAGAAGGACTTGTACAAGACAGCAGCAGCAGTCCTGGAGTTAAATGAGCTAGCTTGTAGGAAACCACTTTTAAAAAATGATATGTCTTTTAAAAATAACCCTCACATCTTTATTACTTGCTAATAAAGCTGCAACTTATTATGAAATGGAGGCAAAAATGGTGTGAGCTCAGGAAATCTGCTTCCTTTGGAAGTCATTCCAGATATATCTGTATAGGGATCCATCAGGTAATAGACTGCCCAGCACAAAAAGGTACTTGCTGTGAAAGAGGTGTGGACTGGAGGGGAGATAGAGATTTTAGAGAAGAGGACTTACAATAATTCCTCAAAACATTATTTGAAAAATCAGTGAAAAAATTACCAAAGTAAAAATGATCAATTTAGAATGAGAACCAACATTTTTGTCTTGTTTTTTTTTCTATAAAAATTACATTTTCTTTAAAATACAAGATCCTTTTCATTGCATTTGCATCCTGTTAACAACAGAGCATTTGGCAACATTTTGCCATATAATGCAGCTTTGAGTCCATTGAGTTAATACCATGTTCCACTAATATTGCACTTGGATTTTGGACCAATTTTTAACCCCCAGCATCTTATGTTTCTGTCCATATTAAAACGAGTTAACATTTCTAGCCACTCTTTGCTATTGATGCCGACACACAAAAAACGAACAAACATAAAGCAATAGGCTGGATGTATTAAAGAACCTCAGAAATTTCAGAGGCCAAGTTCCCTTGAAGAGCCCTAACACACCAAGAACATCAAGAACAGTGTGGCATTATGGTACTTAACTCGTCAGCAAGACTGTGCAGTAATTAAAAGATTTACTCTGGGAAATCAAAATGTCATTAGTGGAAATTCTGTGATAAACTAGGTGATCAGGATGGGTCTGTGGCTCAGTTCTGCTGCAAAATAAGGTTTTCCAGTTCATCTGCAGAACGCAATAAAAATGCAGCTGATTCTCGATATCCTGCAACCAGTTGCCGTACTGCATTAATTTCGGTTGGGCTCAGTTGAGGTCTGGAGCTGGTACTGCTGGAAGTTCCAGAAGTAGTTGCTAACTGTCGCTTCATACTGAGATCAGTTGGACCTAGAAATGACAAATAGGACCAAATAAAATATCAGGATGTCTTTATTATGGCTTGATAGGAAAAGCACAACTCCAGAATAGATCAAATGCCTGGGCAAAGAAAAAAGGAACATGCTGTAAGAAAAAGGTCTCAATGACTGTTTCATTAGTACATACATTTCTTCATTTAGCATTTACATTCATACCAAGCTAGACTTGTTTTATCCTTCAGCTGGAATAAAAGAGAGTGTCAAACCATCAATAGTGGCAAATGTGTTGCTGACATTGTGTCTTGCCAGACTTCAGTCACGGGGTTTCTTTGTGCAAAGCTATCTCTAGTTTCAGAAGTTTCACTGGGAGTGTTAAGCAAATGACGGAGTGTGATACAACTCCGTGAACTGCCCAAAGAGCCTCAGTTATTGGGTGGCATAAAAATGAATTAAATGATTAGAAAAATATAAATCAGTGGCATTTATCAGATTATTGCAGGGGGCATAATGTAATGAAAAAAACTTTTCTGGGTTACCCCAGGGAACGTACAGCTTTCCTGAGTTTTAGAAACAGCCCCTTGGGTCTTCTACAAAGTATCCTGTGATCTGTGTTTTCAGTTCAAAACTTGAAAAATAATACCAAAGCATTTTACATTTTTGCATAACTGTCTGATTTTAAAATGCCCTGTACTATTACATTTTTTATACATTTCTTTAATTGAAAATTTGGCTCCACCCTACACTACTGGGTTATCCCTTCGTATGTCTGTTTGGAGGGGTATGTTTTAAAATTGATGATGATGTCACTTAACTCAAACAATTATGCTACAGGCATGGCTTCCATTGGCATATGGACCTTTTTGCCCTCAGTGTTTGAAGAGGTGAATTTAGATGAGGTCTACAGGCAGTTCAGTTTGCTGCAGCTGGGGACATATGCTTTTAAAAAAATTCAACCCTGCCCATTAGCTCCAAAAGTCACCAGCTGCCAAAGGTTGTTGCAAGAGCCTGTGAATCAGTCTTGCTTTCTCTCATGCGTGTAGAAGTTCAGCTTCATCTAGAGCAGCAAATTAAACCTGATGTTTAAAAAATCTTCTCTGACATATCATTTTCAATGCTCACAGAATATCATTTCTCTAGCCATCACAGGAGTGACTCATTCACTCAGTCATATTGTAACTAGTTACTGACTATGGTTTATGGATTCATTTAAGTTGCATAGACATCACACATTTTTAGAAGCTAAGCAGTTCTTGTTTTAACTAAATCATTCAAAATGCTACAAGTACTGTGAATCCTCTCCAAGAGCAAGATGTTCATTTATCATATTAGCTGCTGAGTAAATCTGACATTAAATACACTGCTGGACAAATGACTTGCAAGATCTAACATGAGGTAGTTATTGCTTCATAAATTACTCATTGGCAGCATCAATTACTTAGAACTCTAAAATGCAGGTCAGATATGTGATACAGCAGCTTATTTCACTGATAACAGCACTGATGGCTCATGTGTAGGAAAGCCATATGTGAGTTATCTCTGCAATAACCCACCTTGGTTACTAGCATGGGACAGCCAGTTAGATATTTAATAGTCTGTTGGAAATAAGAGGCTCTAAAAAAATTAACCATTCTCTTTATGCTGGTTAAAATTTACTGTCTATAATATTAATGACAGTAATTTATCATTTTAAAAATGGAAGGCTGTGTATACTTCAGGGATGAAATATCAAATAATTTTGGTTCTAAAAGTTAACTCCAGTCAAGATCAAAAATGTGAAAAGAAGAGAGATTCAGAAGTAGTCTGTGATATAGCATGGGATCAGCTTTCAAAGAGGAGTGTAAAAAGTTTTGTTGACTATCAGTTTCATTAATTTTAATAGATCTCTGGTTACAATTTTTGCCTGAAGAACAGGATTTTGCTTGTCAATGGATGTAACAGTTAGGGTTGTATTTTAATACATTATCAGCATAGTATAATATCTGAATACTATTTCTTTCATTGATAGCTGACAGAATAGACTCAAAAACAAATAGTTTTTCTTTATAAGTCAATTAATCCCTATATCTATTTGAGAATTAAGACCAGAGCCATGACTCCATAAAGGAAACCAGAGTCTTGAATTTAGAACAGCTAATCAGGGATGTCATGGATAGGATATTTTGGAGGGCTTTCATTCATAGGTGTCCTTAAGCTGGAGATGACTTGATGGCACATAACAACAGCTGGAAAAGGTGCTGTATGCCAACCAAGGAGCCAAATAGCACTGTTCTTGAAATCAAAAGATATAAGGCAAAGTATTTTTTAACCTACCCTGCCTTTACATTTTTTTCTATAATCTGCTAATAAAGCTCTTTGATGTTTACCCACAAATGTTCTTATTGTCACTGGATCCAAAAAAAGAACCACTACTACTGGCAGAACAGTTACAAATGTAAGATGACAACAGAGACATACACTGTGAAAGTATGTGAACAAAGTAGGTTAATTGCACAATAAAAACCATGTCAGGAAGCACCATAAATAAAGTCATAGTGATTCTACTCTTTGAAGCAGGAAAAGATTGATCCTAAATCCCACCATTCTGGTAGAAAAAATATCAGAGAAGCAGCATTTATGTACTGATGGGAAGCTACTAGTAGAAACACCAGTACAGAGACAAAATGTGGGTAGAGTATGGGTACAGAGAGGGAGGAGTGGATCTTTGGAGAATTCTTATATTCACTCAGGTCTTGCTCTTGCCCCTGTAATGGTGTCATGTTACAATTTTATTTCAGAGAATGTTTCCACTGGCCCACTCCATAGTGTTGGATAGCCATTGGAAGTTGATGGAATGTCTTGGATAGCTGCAGAGTTTTGGAACAACAATGGTGTATGTATGCATTTTCCAAAGACTCCCCCCCCCTTCCCATTTGCTTGTGCAATGATTTGCATCTTGTTACCCAGTGCTAAATCTGTGATATGTGGTACCAAAGTTCAATCATTTGGGCATAAAGAAGCCATCTATGAAGCAGATGCCATATCCCTAGAGATGAGACATAGCTAGCAATCTGGAAACAGCATGGACAATGTGTGAGATACTCAGAGCAAGATAGCTCCAATTACATGATAGAAACTCAAGGTTCTCACAACACTTTGATTTGTGAAACATACCTATCATGTCATCTTATGATACCAGTTGGAACCTCCTTTATTAGGCACCAGATTATGAAATCTTTTCTTTCAAATCTGATTGGATTAGAGCTGTTTCTGGGGAAAGATTCAAGGGTTGTAACCCTTCTTAAACCCAGTTAATAAATATGGCTATTAGAATATATTTTGGATGTACCCATCAGATGCTCTGGAAGTCATGAAGGATCATACACCCAACATGCTGTTACTTTAGTTATGGACACTGGTATAGCTGCCAATCAAGTCCTTCTCCTAATGGTAACCATCTGTGTGGCACATAAAAATGGTGAGGGTATGGAAAGAAGCTCTTGCTAGAAGCTTCTTCTTTATGTGTGAAATTCTTTGCTCCTAGAAGCCCAAAGGAACCCAAATATGTTTTGGGGGTAATATTATCTTCTCTTTCACTGGATGTGAATGAGTAGTGGATCTTTTAAGGTGTATGCTTATTCTAAAGCTATGCTATATCTTTAATACAATACTCTACATTTTGTAATAAAGATAGGTCTAATTAATGATGTGGGATTTCTGGAAAATTTTCCACTACAAATTAAGTTGATTTGCATAGGAAAATGTGTAGCATAATATTTTCCATTGAAAGTTAAGTTAATTTGCATAGAGTAAATTGCATCAGAAAATTTTCTGACATCCTAGAGAAATTTAAGTTAGTATTTCTAATTTATCATATTTAGTAAACAAAGTTGGAAAGAAGTTATATTTTGGCCCAAGACACCACAAATATTTAACCTGAAATGTTGTGAAGTGGAAATCACACATAATGTGGGTTAAGTGACTTATTATGTAGAAAGTGTTGTTGGAATCCTTCTGAACATTTAAAGACAATAACATGTACTTCCCTTATAGTTTTTAAAGAAAAGAAACACACACAAAGGTACTGAAAACTGCACAATAATTAATTTTAACAGCCCAGAGAAATGTGTATGATATGCTAACAGCCACTCATCTGTCTTAGCAGAGATCTATTTACTTCACTTGAGGTTGTTTGGAGCACCTTCAGTTTCACTGACATTATTTATTAGTTCAATTTCACTCTGAGAGTTGTATGTATATCAATGCCATATATTGACTGCAGGTGGCACAGTAGTTAAAGTGTTGGACTGAGACTTGAGAGACCCAGGTTCTAGTCTGTACTCAGCCATCAAGTTCACGGGTGAATTTGGGCCAGTTACTGACTCTCAGACTAACCTAGCTCACAGGGTTGTTGTGAGGATAAAATAGAGAAGAGGAAGGTCAAGGCCTCAGTTTCCTCAGTGGAAAAGGGGTTGGCATTTGCATGCAATAATAAATAGAAATAAAAAATGGATATGCATTTCCTTGTATACTTGCTATGGATGACCATGTGAAAAACATTACAACTTGGAAACACCCAGGATTACCTGATACTGTATTTGCAATTCACTATTTTTACTACTGAACTTATGAAATGGGAAAATTTCCAAGGAAAAATAAAACTCTTGGAAAAACATTCTAGAAAATTTTCTGTTCAGCTAATTTTTCCACCCCACAAAATAGGATTTAATAGCTTCATTGCAAAGAGAATAAAGTAATGTAAGTAATTAAAATGGGCTCATTCAGACTATGTAAGTACAGGTGTACTCAATTGAAACCCACAAATATAAAATACTTTTGTTAATTTTTATTTTGTAATAAAAACAAGCAAACATTTTCATTTTGTCATTGGCAGGACAGAGTGGAGATTTATATGAGCAAATCTACATTGAAAAGTCTGCAAAAATCCTCACCACTGGTAGATGCATCACTGAGATTTAGCAAACCTCCTCCTAACCCTCTGTAACTATGGTAACTGTAGGTCCCATTTCCATTTATGTACAGCACCTCCTGTGTGCTTGAAACAGCTGATGATGAGTAAGTGACCTGGGTTGGTTCCTGTTTATATGGTTTCTCTGCTGTAGCCGCCTCATCCTGCAAAGCAATGGTTTAGGAGACAGTATCAAATCATTGCCACATTTTTCTCCTTGAATGAAGAAGACATTATGTTATTATGTAATAGACTTTTCCAGCACTGCTTCAGAACAAGTTGAAGGAAATGTGAAAGAAACACATAGATTTTTAACTATACCATAAAGAAAGCACGAGCACACTGGAGTGGTAGGGAGGCTACATATTCCTGTAAAAGAGACTCACAGCCTTTGCCTTAAAGTGAGAATAAGCCTTCTGCTGCTATCTAGATATTCTGGCTCCAACTTTCATGAGGCCAACTTGTATGGCCAAGAGTAATGAATTATGGGAATTGCATTCCAGAACAATGGGCCAACAACAGATTGTTAACAATATTCACTTATTCATCTGGCCAGGGCAACTTCTTTTCTTTCCTTTTCTTTTCTTCTTTTCTTTTCTTTTATAACTTTTCTTTTATATCGTTTATATATTTTTTATTTTTTTATATTATTAATTTTAATTTTATATTGTTATTTTTGTACTGCATTGTATTTTATTGTGTTGTAAGCTGCCCCGAGGCTTCGGCAAGGGCGGCATAGAAATGTTCTAATAATAATAATAATAATAATAATAATAATAATAATAATAATAATAATAGGCTTGCCTCACCAAAGAAAAAGTTTAATGCTGGCATTTGAACTAGGTTTCTTGCTGCAAGATGCTTTTGCTAATTTTTTTTAATGGCAGACTTTTTGGAGTAGTCAGGATGCTAGGAAATGGAGGAAAAGTTAACACAGAATAGTAGGTCTGTAAAGGAAACTCAACATCAAGAAAACTAAGATCATGGCATTTGGTCCTATCACTTTCTGGCAAATAGATGGGGAAGAAATGCAGGTAGTGACAGATTTTATTTTCCTGGGCTCCAAGATCACCGCAGACAGGGACTGCAGACAAGAAATTAAAAGACGTTTGGTCCTGGGGAGGAAAGCTATGGCAAATCTAGACAGCATACTAAAAAGCAGAGACATCTTCCTGCCAACAAAAGTGCATATAGTCAAGGCTATGGTTTTCCCAGTTGCAATGTATGGCTGTGAAAGTTGGACCATATGGAAGGATGAGCGCCGAAGAATTGAGACCTTTGAATTGTGGTGTTGGAGGAGACTCCTGCAAGTCCCTTGGACTGCAGGGCAATCAAACATCAGTTGGCTTGAAACTCAACATTAAGAAAACTAAAATCATGGCATCTAGTCCTCTCACTTCCTGGCAAATAGATGGGGAAGAAATGGAGGTAGTGACAGATGTTATTTTCCTGGGCTCCAAGATTACCGCAGATGGGGACTACAGCCAAGAAATTAAAAGATGCTTGCTCCTGGGGAGGAAAGCTATGGCAAATCTAGACAGCATACTAAAAATCAGAAACATCACCCTGCCATCAAAAGTGCATATAGTCAAGGCTATGGTTTTCCCAGTTGCAATGTATGGCTGTGAAAACTGGACCATAAGGAAGGCTGAGCGCCAAAGGATTAAGGCCTTTGAATTGTGGTGCTGGAGGAGACTCCTGTGAGTCCCTTGGACTGCAAGGTGATCAAACTGGTCAGTCTTAGAGGAGATCAACCCTGACTACTCTTTAGAAGGCCAGATCCTGAAGATGAAACTCAAATACTTTGGCCACCTAATGAGAAGGAAGGACTCCCTGGAGAAGAGCCTAATGCTGGGAACAATTGAAGGCAAAAGAAGAAGGGGACAGCAGAGAATGAGGTGGCTAGATGGAGTCACTGAAGCAGTTGGCGTGAGTTTAGGTGGACTCCAGGGGATAGTGGAGGACAGGAAGGCCTGGAGAACTTGCCACAATTTGTTGTGATCCACACAATCAAAGGCTTTAGCATAGTCAATGATGTTTTTCTGGAACGTCCTAGCTTTCTCCATGATCCAGTGTATGTTGGCAATTTGACCTCTAGTTCCTCTCCCTCTTCGAAATCCTGCCTGTACTTCGAAATCCTGGTAGTTCTCTGTCCACATACTGCTGGAGCCTAGCTTGTAGCATTTTGAGCATAACTATGCCAGCATGTGAAATGAGTGCAATGGTGCGGTAGTTTGAACATTCTTTGGCATTGCCCTTCTTTGGGATGGGAATGTAAACTGACCTTTTCCAATCCTGTGGCCACTGTTGAGCTTTCCAAATTTGCTGGCATATTGAGTGTAGCACTTTCACTGCATCGTCTTTTAAGATTTTGAATAGCTCAGCTGGAATACTGTCACCTCCACTAGCTTTGTTGTTGCTCAGACTTCCTAAGGCCCAGCTGACTTCACATTCCAGGATGTCCAGCTCGAGGTCAGTGATCACCCTATTGTGGTTATCAGGGATGTTAAGCTCTTTCTTGTACAGTTCTTCTGTGTGATCTTGTCACCTCTTCTTAATCTCTTCTGCCTCTGTTAGGTTCCTGCCATTTTGGTCCTTTATCATGCCTATCTTTGCATGAAACGTTCCCTTCATATCTCCAATTTTCTTGAAGAGATCTCTGGTCCTCCCTATTCTATTGTTTTCTTCTATTTCTTTGCACTGTTCATTTAAGAAGGCATTCTTATCTCTTCTAGCTATTCTCTGGAATTCTGCATTCAATTGGGTGAATCTTTCTCCTTCTTCCTTGCCTTTCACTTCGTTTCTTTCCTCAGCTATTTGTAAAGCTTCCTCAGACAGCCATTTTGCTTCCTTGCATTTCTTTTTCTTTGGGATGGTTTTAGTTGCTACCTCTTGTACAATGTTGCGAACCTCTGTCCATAGTTCTTCAGGCACTCTATCTATCAGATCTAATTCCTTAAATCTATTTGTCACCTCTACTGTATATGAAAAACCTTCTATTATTGTCCAATGCATTTCAGAAAGGCTAGTTTCCTTTCCTCAGGAACGAAGTTTCTTTCTTTTTCTAATGTTACACTAGATGAGATTTGCTCCTTTCAGTACATTGAACAGAAGAGCAGGACTCCCCACCCCACCCCACTTCCAACACACTGGGCAATAATAAAAGGCTTCTCATAGGCATATGGAAATACATCTCACCAAAAGCATGAGCCATGCTTTGCAGTAGTAGAAAAATGCATGTTATTTCCCTGATATGCATTTTTGCATTCTGCCTTCACATGTACTACTACCTCTTCTATCTATCCTCAGATCCTGACTTCTAAATTGTGCCACCATTCCTCCTCTCAAACATTTGCAAGGATTATTCTAGCTTCAGTTCCTGGAGTGGAAAAGTAAAAGTATCCAATATTTTTTAATAGTAGGAGACAGATGTAATTCCTCCAACAATGAACATGGCCATCTCTCATTGTCAAAAGTACAGTACAGAGCAGGACGAGAAATGTAGCATGCAGTGCCATCCCATATAGGAAAACTATAGTGGTGCCCTAATCTAAATGCACTTAATATTTGAATATTTTAAATGGAAATGTTGTATAATAATTAATCTGAACCTGTAAAGTGTATAATCTGGATAAACTCCTTTAAAAGTTATTCCGGTATATAAAATACGTTATATAAAATATTCTTTCTATCCAGTATGGGTGTGTGTGTGTGTGTGTTTTAAACTGACAATTGTTAACAAATCTCCAATTGGATATTGCAGTAATTTTAAAACTTCTAGCAAAAAAAGCCAGTGGATTTACCATGTCCTAATAAGTATTTGGCAAATTTACAACACATAAATATATTGAGAAACTTTCAATGTAGATGGGAATGTGCATCTTTGTTCAAGTGAATGAACTGTTGCATGTGACTAGTTGTGTATGATTACAGTGGGATTAGGGGCATTGTCAGGCTTACTGGACAGTTGGGGTTTTTCTGCATATAAACTAGTAAAAGAACCATCTTGACTTAATATTGTGTTTTCCATTAGCTTTAATTCTTCTGGGCTTGACCCAGTTTTAATTTTATGAGCAATAAACTTGAAAGCTCAAATTACAGAGCTGTGTTTTGGCATATCATAGTGGCCAAGAATTTCTTTCAATTTCAATAAGGTTATAGAGATGATGGGATCAGTTGCAACGGGATTTTTAAAACACTTCTAAACAGGGACTAGATACTGTTTGGTTCTTGATTTGGTTCATTAAACTCCATTAACACTAAGCGTTCAGGGATCATTATCTGCTACCAGAATAAAATGCATTAACCCTACAGGATCATAACCTAAATAAACAGTAGAATGCTATGTTTCAGCATAGAAAATATCCACCATTAAAAAAAAGGAGACAGAATAATTCCAACATGAGTGAAGGCTAGTGCAGACCTTAAGCAGATGTATTTTTTCTAAATAAAGTTACACATCCAACTTTAAGGCATTCAGAAGTGTTCTACTGGATCAGATCAAAGAACTATCTAATCTAAACAGTTGCCAACCAGCTGCCTATGGGAAGTCCATAAGCAGGAGATGAGTGCAGCTGGTATTCAGAGAGGCCTACTTTCTCTGATAATGGAGACAATATGAAGCTATCATAACTAATAGCCATTGCTAGCTTTTTTCCTCCATGAATTTCTCTAATTTCCCTTTAAAGGCATCTGAGCTGGCAGTCACCTCAATATTTCACAGTTGCAAATTCTGCAGTTCGACTATCTGCATATGAAGAAGTGCTTTTTTTGTTTTTCTCAATTTTCTCACCATTTGGTTGCACTGCATGATGGTACAGTTTTGTACTATGGGAAAGGAAGAACAACTAGCTATCAAGTATGCATGATAAAAAAGCATTTAAGAGAATTTACTCAGATATTTTTCTCTCCTTATAATGAATTTTACAAGTCTATTATTATTATTTGAAATGCTTAGCCATGAATCTTGCAACCCTCAGTTCTCACCCCCACCATTGTACCTGCTGTCGATCCAAGCGCATCCGTTTTGCAGCATTTCTGCTTTCGCTTTCACAGGCTGAAGCCAGAATACTCTCTGCTACTGCTGAAGTAAGGTGAGAGGGAATGGGTCGTGACTATGAAAGAGAGAGTGGGTGAGGGGGGAGAGAAACAGAAGATAGAAAAGGTTACTAGGATCTTCATAAAATCCACAATATTCTTCACAGGTAGCTCTTATGCAGGAGAGGCCCAGTCATTGAAATGTATTTTGTTTCAACAGAAAGTGGAAATGGAGATTGTCAAAATGAAAAATGAAAACTAGTTAGAGATTAAATCTGCAGTTGTTCCACAGATCTTCAGATATATGTTTATTCCCCTATATTTTCATATGGATATTCATACATATATTTAGAATGCATTTTCAAGAGACACCTGTAATACGCCTGAGCTGGTGTAGCATGGCTAAGAGACTGAGCTATGAATCAGGAAATTTCCAGTTCAAATCTCATCCCAGCCATGAAATCACTTGGTGGCCTTAAATAAGTCAGCTTCACTCTTTCATCCTCAGCAATATAGGGGAGAATAATACTAACTTACCTCACAGGGCTGTTGCAATAATTACAACTAGGTAATATATGAGTGAAATGTTTTGGACAATTGTGAGTGCTATACAAATAGTTATAATCATGATCATCAATCAAAATATACTTGTTTTGATTCTTGGTACTATTGCTGACAATATAAAGCCTATGGACTTTTGTTCTTACATCTCATCAGCTGAAACATGGACACCTGTACTTTACACCTCTGTGTAAAGGAATGCCATGTTTAAGTAGGTTGCGATGGGTCGGACACAACTTCGCGACTAACAACAACAACAACAATCTTCATTCATCCACAGGGCTGTAATATCCTTCCATCCTCAAATGTTTTCTTTAAAGACATGTCTTAGTAATGATCCTCTTTCTTGTCATTTCACAGTTAACTTGACTGGCACACCTTGCTGAAAATTTACTGGACTGAAAGGCTTGCTTATACTCTTCAGGAATAATCTACATGTGGACCAAATTAAATCTTCTGCTGGTTTCAGTGGGCAGATTTTTTCTAATTTTAATGCCCACCCAATTTCAAGATGAAAATGGGAGGGGGAAGTTTAAATCCACCCCTCATACCATGGCCCTGATCTGAATTGGAGCTGTCCATGGTTACACTCCAGTAAGTCAGTCACACATGGCTCTAAAATATGCAGATCCATACAAAGCCTACACTCACTCTACTACATGCCCAATTCCTCACAAACAAATGCAATTTCTCTTCCTACATAGTCTTATACTAGCTGATGGTACTACAAAAAATGTTGGAAGTCACATTAAAATGTAAAGAATGGATACAAAGGTTATTGCAGTAAATCTGACATATTCCATTCATAAGACTAGTGTTTAACTTATTTGTTGAAACTCTTGACAAATAGATGGTGAATTCTTAATCAACAGTATACTTAATTACTGAAAACGGTATTTTAATTTTTTAAATGAAAACAGCAAATTTTAACCGCTGAAACTGTTGCACATCTCCAAATTACCACTGCTTAGCATTAAAGGTTAGTATATTTTTAACTACAAACAAAAACTTGGTTTTACAAACACCACTTATAGGATAAAATTCAAGCAAAGAACTCTTAAGACTGAGTTAAAAACATTTTGTGGTTATTGTTAATTAATTAATTAACAAATGTAGGCATTTTTTTCTGAGGAGGCAAACATATTTCCCCAGAGAAAAGTTGTACTGCATCTGTTGAAAAATATTATGCAGATACAGAAATAGATATGTGACTGTTTATAACTTAGCATATTCCATAACATCCAAGACTGACAAACTATAGAAGTCCATCTTGGAAGCTACAAGTCATTAACAATTAGTCTGTAAAAAAGTATAATGCAATTAGAATGTAAAATCCTGTATTTTCTACTCTGGTTTGACATTTTCCTCTAAAACCAAGCAAGTTCAGCAAGAGTACAGTCCAATGCATGTTTAGACAGAAAAGGGTCCTGGCTAGACAGGGAATGCTGGGAGCTGTAGTGTCTTTTTCTGTCTAAACTTGCATCCTAAGTTACTGTTCTCAGATAAACTGGAGTGACCTCATGGCAATTATCAGCATCAGAGATTATGTCCTTATCAAGGAGACTTGGTGTCTGATCTTTATTTTATTGTGTTTTAAAACTTTTTGTGATAGCCTGTATTATTCATAATGGCATCATTTAATCATTTTAACCCAATAAATAAATACATACATGAATATTTACAACATTTATTTATTTAAGTAAAATTTTTGCATCCCAAAGGGTAGGAAGATATAAATCAAGCTGATCCATTGTTCACATTAGTTCCTTCCTGTTCCGGCTAGCTCCTTCTTTGCTGAATATGTCATCCTCAGCATATCAGTTTTCTTGCACTGTGTGGCATTGCTTTGTTATTAAAAGGCGATATATATGTCTTTCCCACTAAATAAGCTTTAAAAATTAGAGTTGCAGAAACCAAGGTGACGACATATCCAATTATGTATCGGGTTCCTGCAGCTTCCATAGTTACATGTTGAATTCACCTAGCACTTAAATAACAAGAATATTCTCACATCATCAGGAAGCAGAGCCTTTGAACCATCTACAGAAAACTACTGTGTCCATCACAAGACCATTAATTGACATGCAAAGCATAATGGAAGAAAACAATACTTATAGCACAATTTACAAGAAGGTTCTCCAAGACCCTAAATCGAATGGCATACATATAAAATTATAGTAACATTACATATTAGCTATTTGTTTCAGGATATTTGCCAAAAGACCAATGCTGCCTGATTTTATAGGGTATACCTGAGATTCTAGGCATACTTACTTGGAAGGAGAAAAGTGCAAATTCCTTCCAAATAAATATATTGGCAAGATTGTTATTTATAAAAGATTCTCATGAAGCAAGCATAGAACACTGATAATATATATTGCTAGTATATGTTCCTATGTCCAAAGTGATAGGCAGGATTAAACTTAGATTACAATGATATAATTCCATATAGAAAATAAGTAGCTCATGTGCTGTATATTAAAATTTTTAAAATAGTAAACAAATATAATGTGTCATCCCTTTTGCTTGAATGTATAACATTGTTAGCAAATGTCTACAAGTAATTGCAAGTATTTATTTTCCAATTTTAAACATAAATGTGCTGTGTCCTAACAGTTCCATCCATTTTAAAGTTACCCTTCTCTCACATGAATATCTGGAACCCAAATCTCCATATTGAAAGCTCAACGTGTTTTCTCAGGAGCATTTTATTCATTGAAATATAGATACTCAGTCATTCTAACTATGGAATACACAGTGGCTCTACAGTCTGATGTATGGATCTATTCATCAACATCTTGTAACAGAATTAAGACTGAAAAAGATTTTTGAGAATTCTGGCATGTTTTTAAAGCACTCTCTCTTAGTGTAAGGTATGCAATTCAAACTAGCACAATGTTTGAGCAACATTCTGCATTCCAAAATGAAGAACAGCACTGCACTCTGTTGGATGTACTGATATTGTTCAAATATGCTCTTCTAGCCTCAGTAAATATAAAAGAGGATTTTTCAGTTTTGCAACTCTACATTTTCACATCAGTTTGACACAATCCTTTTCATTTATTATCTCTCTGAATAGAAATGGAAGAAGCAGGATTCCAGGAACTAGAAGCGAAATGTGTGTCCATTTGCATGCATGGTACATGAGCAGATACATTTGCTGTGTCTAAAGCCAATCTACTTGATAAATAATTTGGAAAACACAAGTTTACTTTTCAAAACCGTTATTCACTTAGTTGATACACCCCACTTTACTTCCAATACTGACATCTTTACTCCAGACAGCAGTTTATCACAGACAAAATGGGGAACTATTTGGCACAGGCACCAGGTTTAGAGCAATTATTATTGCCATTGTCACAGTCATTGTCATCATAATCATTTACTATATGTCTATATTGCCCCAAAGCTGAAGCTTTCTGAGCAGTTTTCAGCACCATAGAAATTATCTGTGTTCAATATGACTGCATAGCATCATTAATTGTCCAAGGTGGTCATCCAGCCAGATGTAGGTACAGAGGGGGGAAAAGCAACAGACACATTCTGCCTAATTAGTAGTGCCTTTCCTGCTGTTGTGCATGCAAATAATGCCTGATCCTGACTCAATTTATTCCTGTTTCACCAAAACTGGTAGGACTGCTCATAAAAGTAAAGATGTACACAGTTTGACAGGGCAAGGGCTGGATAATATGCCAGGTGTATCTCCTGAGACTTCTGCTTTAGGATTTCATAATATGTTGGTGTGATCTATTCATGAGACAGATGTTCAGACAAAGCTGGTGGTTTGTAAAAGCAGAGAAGTGTGAAGAGGCATTTGGCAAGCAGCCATCATCAACAGGTAATGAACGCAAAATACTGTATGGAGAAAGGGCCCAATAATATTATCTGTGTCTTCCCAAGGTTAGCCAGAAATCACATGCTCCTTGTTGTCTAATTAAATCAAATAAAATTTAGTTAGACCCTTGGGTGGCCATATATATTGACATTAAAAGTTGCTAAGAAACTTTGTTAGCCTGATTTCCCCCCTCTTTCTGTCTGATGAACAATTTTATGAAACTGATTTGAATGTATTACATAGAAATTGTAAAACCTGTAATCTATGTGTAATCCATTTCTTCGTAACATATGGTTCAAAATACACATTTTAACAGGTTTCTACAGTTAAATTGACATATTTTTGGAGAGCAAGATTGAGTAGACTAGAAGGAAAGCCTACTATCATCATTTCCTATTGTCTCTGGCTAGCATACATTTTTCATCTGATGGATTTTCATCCCTAACACTTTTCGGACATGCAAAGCACACAGAGCAAACCCATGGAAGGAGAATATCACAATGGAAAGAGTCAATGGAGTCAGTGGCCTATGCACATAGTCACTAACTGTGAATATAATCCCTGCAGGGATGCCAACTAAGCACATGTCCTTATCTGTGTGACAGAGGATCCTGTAGAATTGTACAGTTTATATGCATGTATGAACTTGTGTGCACAGTCTAGTGCAGGGATGGGCAATTA